CACGAGGAAGCCAACAATTGAAGGACAGACCTTCGTAGTTAAGGTAATGGATTGCCTAGCCGATGAACAGGTAGAGGAGGTTGCTGAGGAAGATCACCAAAAAACTTCTTTGACTAAGAGTGGTGAAGCAGGATATCTTCTCACTGAAACCTTGAGATGTGGTAAGTCACTAGACTCACACAAGGAAGTAGCAGGGTCAGAGGTCTTTAAAGGCTTGATTGGGTCAAAAACAGAGGTTAAGGTGGCATATGAAGCAAGCTCAACACATGCTCAACCAACTGACTCGAGTATACATTTGAGCAAGCCTTCAACTAGTCTGGAGAACTCTAGCTCGACCAAACATCGTGATAAGCTGCTAGAGTCTAGCAATTCTGCTCCAGATGGCTGGTTAGAACTCAAGGAGAGGTCCAAATGGCAGGATAAAGCCATAAGGGAGCTAACAGGCACTGTGAGAGAGCTGAAGGATCAAATCAAGAAGCTCCATGGGATAGCCAACCAAGTACCACTCCAAATCAAGGACATCCCAAATGATGAAGCGTCTACTCTGGTCAGCGCAAAGGGGAGTGAATTCACTTCAGAATGGTCTATAGCAGAAGACTATCCAGTTGATCAACAAGAAGCTTACTATGAGAAAAGGGCCATTGAGTACTCAAATGCAGATTTGTCAAGAGAGCATGCTAAGTTTGATGATTCATCCACCTGCAGGATAGAGGAGACCTCATTTGCTCTCTACAATCCACCCTAAGCTCATTCAATGTGAGAAGTCAAGCTAAAGACTTTAAACAAGCTCACTTGGGAGGAAGTCCCATGTCTACCCTTGTAAATATTAGTTATTTCCTTGTTATTTTTGATGTTTTTGCTTAAGTGTCTCAGGATAAAGCGTTTTAAGGAAGCCAAGGCGCAAAACAGAATGAGTGGACTTGACTCGACCTGCCCTCCTCGACGTGAAGTCGAGCTTGCCCCTTGGTGTCACTCCAAACCAAAACCGAAGCCCTACTCGACGTACCTGCTCGATGAGACGTCGAGTTAGCCCATGAAGCCCACCAGTACCAGGTCAGTCACCTCCTTCTTCACCCATCCATGAGGTAACAACTCCAATTCACCATTGTATATACGACATTTCATTTTGTTTCTCTGTTGGTTTGCCCTGAGTACTCTCTTCCAAATGCTTGTTACACAGAGGACTGTGTAATTTAAGTTTGGGGGAGGGCTCAGGGAGTATTTGACATTGCGTTTTGTTTTCTTATTTCAAATTTTGCATCATTGCATCTAAGGCATAGAAAAACCATAAAAATTTGAAATTTTTCGAAAATGATTTCATAAAAACAGAGTGTTCATATAGCTTGCATTGTCATTTTAGGATTGTTTTAGTATGCTTTCATTTAGGACTGCTGCATCATGCATTTGCATTGGAGATTATGATGATTATAACCTTGTAAATATGCTTATTCACTAAGTAGAACTCAGTGCCCTGGTTGTTAGTTCTCTAATGCATAATCGACTGAACTTGAAGTAAGACCGCACCATCTTTTGAATTCAACGCTTGACTTTCTTGTTTTTAGTCGAATCTCGCTTTGATCTGATGCCATTCCCTATCTATCTGAACTTGAATTTTGACTTATAATTATCATGCTGTGCATTGTGCTATCACTACAAGAAATGTGAACAACCATAGCACTTAAATATAGCGTTTTTCAATTTTCTGCTATAAATCAGGTACACACTACTTTTTTATAGCGTTTAGTGTTATAATAGGTTATAAGCGGGAATAAATTTTTAGTTGCCCGCTTGTTTTAATTTTTGTGTTGGCAAAAAGCCAAAACACTTAGAAAAAAACAAAAAACTTTCCACAACTTTCTTTATTTCTCTCTAGTGCCGAAGCTTTCTTCTCGATCGTGCCCAAGCTTTCTTTCTCTTTGCCGTCCGTCGCCGTCGTTATTCCGCCGCCGTCGTCGTTATTCCGCCGTCGTCGTTATTCCGATCCACTTTCATAGGTTTGTATCGTTCTTCAATCTACTCCCCTCTTCCATGTCTCTTCTTCAATCTTGACTCCCCTCTTCCATTTATCTCTTCTTCAATGTCGATTTAGGTTTATTTTTGGTTAATTTGGGTTTCTCATATACTAATCCTCTCCAAAACTTCTCTGACTTTTGCAGATTTTTGGGTCAGATTTGGCTAAGGTATTAATTAGGGATTTTTAATTTTTTGGTTCACGTTTTCTAATTCGACTTGTTTCCATGAGTAATTGATTTATTGTTCTTGTTATTTGCAGATTCTACAAATCCTTTGTCCAAGAAGACTTGAGCTTAATCGTAAGATTGTGAATCCTTTCTCTCCTTGTTGTTCAATTTTTGTTCGGCCATGTTTGTTAAGGAGATTGAATATGTTAGTAACTTGAATGTCTGATCAATTGAATTTTTATTGTATATAACTGGTCGAGGAGCTGTGTTGTGTTTGGTAATATGGAGAAGTCATGGGTTTGGTTACCTAGGTATGAAACTCTATCATATTCTTATACTTTTAATTTTAAAATGTGTTATTGAGTTACATTGATATTTGGACTTCATGGTTTTCTTTACAGGAATAGCATTGAGTATGTTGAAGGTGCAAATCAATTTGTGAATGCTTCATCGAAAGCTTTGGGTTATCCTTCATCGAAAGCTTTGGGATTAGTCTAAACAAGCTGGATATTCTTAACGCTAGAGACTCACATGTTCAGAAGCTTCTGGCTACACAAGCAGAAATGGCTACCAAGATTGAAGATTTGCAGAGTCAACTTCATTGTTTAGCTGGAAAAAAAGTAAGTTTCACATTTGTTTATCACAATGGTCATAATAGTTTGTAACCAATTATTTTTCCTCTTGGTAGCTATCTGGTGCTGATTTGGATGCTCAATCTAATGTATCAAACACAAACAAAGGAGGAATTAAGTGTAAGATATTGGATTGGTTTTCAAAAGATGAAGTTGTTGTCGGGGAATCAGACAACAACTCTCCAACTGAGCATAACATGGTATATATCTAAATTATTAATATTGCCATTGTTTAAACTATCAATATCAATTATATTACTAATAGGTGCATAACTCTTTAGGACTCTGATGAACAACCGATTTACAACATCTTTGCTTGGAATGGAACTGATATTGTTGCTGAGGGTATATTGATGATCAGTTGATTACACTTTTTAAATTTTGATTCGTTTGTTTCAAATCGTAGTGTTAAATTATGGATTTGATAATTGTGTTTGTAGATCAGGCTATAAACTAGAGAGAGTTTAGTGAAGTGTGACTATTACTCTTTGTTTCTTTACTTTCTTTCTAGTGTGTTGATGCATGTGAGTGAATGTCATATTTATTTGAGTGTGTGATCCTTTGAACTTATTATCAGAATAGTGATAAAGTCGTAGTAAATTGTCTTAAAACTCCAAGCTTTTTGGTTCCTTGTAAGAAAGATAATTTACTACTGAGTTATGTAATTTAAGATGTGACTCTTGATAGATCATTTAAGAAGTAAATTTGCATGTGCAGCTGCCATCAATTATGGGGAAATGGATGACATGAACGCTGTAAACATGATCTTGGTTGGTATCCCCCTTGACGAACCACACTTGAAGAATCATCTGTCTATTCTCGTAAATACAGAGAAGAATGATCTCAAAGCAGGAAGTCTTCCTGTGACCGAATCATACTATCTCATGGGCACAGTAGATCCCACCGGAGAGCTAAAGGAAGATGAAGTATGTGTCATCCTGTATGTTACTCCCCTATTCTCTTACTTTCATTTTGATTTTTACATGGAAACAAGAAACAGTGATTTGCTTTTAGTTGTTCATTTCAGGGTAATCCTGCAGAACTCACTTCGATATCATATGTCTTAGTATGTAACAATCGGGTATTCTTAAAGAGATATGTGAAGAATCACGATGAAAAGCAGCTGGTGACTGAGTTGGTGGCTATATATCGTGCATCATAGATTATAAGGCTTGTCTAGGATCTTGGTTTGTATCTTTGAATATCTGAAAAACCTCAATTTTAGGCTTTTTTAATATCAATTTGATCCGGATCGGAACCGTTTCTCTCACTCTCTCTCTATATATGCTTAAAGTTGTATTTTTGAATCTCTTTTTTTATATATTAGCGTAGAAACAACAATGCAGCCAAAGAGAAAGAGCTGAAGGGGACATGTGAATACAAATTCTATATTTGTTGTATTTTCTGTAGCAGTTAGTTTCTGAACTCCTTGGCAAAAATATATTAAACACAAAAACACATACTTAAAACATTTTAATTGGAAAAATTGAATTAATTATTTTAAGGAAGGTACTTTAGATTTCAAGTTAAAAAAAAAAAGAAATATAAATAAATATAACCAAATATCTCAAAAAGACATAAATATTTAATTATAATATTAATAATTACAAAAATAATAACAAAGTTATAATTTTAAAGAGTTTAGGGAATAGAGTTTAGGGTTTAGGGTATAGGGTTTAGGGTATGAAATGTATGGTTTAGGTTTTTTGATTATATTTGTTTGAAATAGTAATAATATTAATTATAACAAATAATAACATAAATAAATTTCATTTTTTAAAATAGTTTAGGGTTTAGGGTTTAGGGTTTAGGGTTTAGGGTTTAGTGTTTTAAATAGTAGCTAATATTAATGATATAAAGTATACTATTATAACATAAATGAATTCTATCATTTTATTAATTATAACATCACTAATGTGTTTCAACAATATGATTTACACAATAAGAAGATTAGTGTACATGTATTCTAAGGCAATCATATGTGTTACCTTCAAATTTCTAAAAACGTTGCAAAATAGTTTTTTTAAATTGCGAAAAAAATTATATAATCATGTAAATAACTCATAAACATATTAATTAGTCAATATATAATTTTTTAAAAATTATATAAATAGTAAAAACACATTTTTATGCCTATAAACAAAATAAGCCAATCATAATGTTTCACTCGGACTGCTGATGTGGCGAGATCTCAGCCTTTCAAAGGCTTTGGCGGCTGCATGTTTAAGAAAATCTCATCCGTTTATCGCCCAACAAAGGCTTTTTTTCTTTTTGGTTAAAACTTCTCCTTTTTCTTCTTTTCTTCGTATCCTTCAAGTCTTCAACTCTTACATTCTTATGAGAAAACCAAACGTTTGCTTACAGTTTCTTCACATGTGGATCACGGTTGCTACTTTTATTGATTCCGAGCTGTTAGAGTACGGTGGCTCAAGGCGGATTTCAATTGTGTATTTGGGTTTTACATGTCCGGTCATCTCCGTGATGGATATCTAGCGGCAGATCTCGCATCTGAGGGTGGTGACAACGAGAACAATTCTCCGGTTGCGTCGGTTAGGCTTTTAGGGTTAAATCCGGTGTCTTAGATTTGCCTTTGGCAGGATTAACGAAATTCATTGCCATCTCCGACTCGAATCTGAGAGAACCAAAGAAGAAGACGAAGAAGAAGAATGGTCTGTCGAAGGTACTTATAATTTCCATGGGTTCTTATAAACAAAAATTGAAAGAAAATTGTTTATTTGTTCAACTGAATCTAACAATTGTTTTTTGGTTTGATAATCTAAGAGAATCGATTTATAATTCTTTTATTTTGCTTTTCTTATTTTAGTTGAAGATGAAGATGGTAGGCGACAGATCCGGTTGAGGACTGTTCTCTTTGTAGCTGGCAAGTAACAAGCTTCATCGAACGTGAGCAGATCTCATTGTGGCGGCGAGTAGGAAGCTTCATCCGACGGGAAGATCGAACGACCGTCGCCGTGCCGTTATTTTGTCACTGTAACCACTTGTGTAAACTGAAAACCCTAATTTGTTAATGGGCTCTGGGCTTTTTGTTTGTAAAATTGTTAGTTAGGCTTATTAATGGGTTTTGTATTATATATTTGTAATCCATTTTTTATTTTTGGTCTAATTCGGTTCGAAATAACCGAGATAAAAAAAAATTCGGTTTATTTCGGAATTGATTTTAAAACCTATAACCGAGCCGAAAAAAGTGAGTACCGAACATACCCGAACCGAACAATTCGGCAGAATTTTGTAAAACAGAATAAACCAATAAACCGAATAAACCGATCCGATTAACCCGAGATAACCGAACGCCCAGGGCGAAACAAAATCATAACGATTATTACACCTTATTATAAATATTAATAATAGTTACGTCATAAACGCTATCATAGTTTAATTAACTATAGCATTCGCAAAGTCCGCTATCTAAAGTGTCCGACTTTCTATAACGGGCGATGTCAGAGCGCTTAAGGAAACGCTATGGTAGATGAATAATAGCGTTTATCGGCCGCTATTAATACCCACATTTCCTGTAGTGTATGAACTCATGGATACCTTAAAATACTTGGACTTTCTTTTACCTTTTGATCACTCTTGCTAGTCCAAGTATCTGACTCCCATCTTTGGAGCAGTTATTCCCCACCCTTAGCCTTAACCTTCTTTCAAGCCATGTATCATTTGTGTGTGAATGTGAGGCCTTATTCCGATTGAGCTTGGTAGAAAGTGTTAGGTCTGTAACGACAAGGATAGTATCTCATGTAGTTCTTGTTCACGTTATCTGGACCAGATAGGACTAGGTGGGTGCTTAATTCTGGGTTTGGGTTGTGTTTAAAAGAAAGAAAATGTTGTGTTCATCATTGAAAGAAAAGAAAAGGGAAAAGAGTTCTTAGGAGAAGTAGCTAAAGTAAGAAAAGTCTAGTAAAGGATTTGGGTGTGCAAAAGTAAAGAAAAGGGTTCTGTAAATAGCTTAAAGAGAATGGGCAAAAGCCTTGCGTTTATAAGAAGAAAGAAAAGGGAACCCTAGTTGTTAAAGAATCCTAATCCGCTAGACAGAGCAAAGTAAAAAAGCTTCTCCTAGGATAGAAAAGCAAAGAAAAGAAAGGAATGGTGTGAGTAAAAGTCTGTAAATGCTTTGAGTGCAAAAGGGTAGAGTTAAGTTCATGATTCTGGGATTAGAAATAGGACCTCCATTTGGGTTGATATTGATTACATTCTGGGTAGATGGGGTTCTATCCTTGTATGCATAACTTGATACTCACCTTTAGCATTCTATTAAAGCTCAATTATTCTTGAGAGATCTCCTGTTGCGATTTAAACCAGATCTTTAAGGGACCATCTTTGTCTCTAAACCTTTACCCTTAAGCCAAATGCGTTCTTATCCAATGCATAATATGATTCACGGTTCCTGCTTAATCAATGTTAAAGGGAATGTGCTGATTTGAATGCTTGAATTGATTAAGGCCGAGGTTAGGTTGAGATGTGAAGGAGATGGCTAATGTTTTTAAGTAGAGATCAGTCATCCTTGCACTCTAGAATTAGCAACCTGGACATTGAATTCACTTACTCTATATGCATGTTTTGGTTCTGAGTCTCCACTTTCAAACCTCTTCTCCAGCTTAGTTCTATTTGTTTGCTTGAGGGCAAGCAAGAGCTAAGTTTGGGGGAGTTGATGTCTCTGTATTTTACCGCTTTTAAGCACACTTTTCTCGTACATTTAGCTAAGTTTCATCTCTTTTTCATTGCATCCATAGTCCTTTTCATATCATTTTCATCACTTAGTACGATTTGCATTGCATGGCATAGCATATTGCATATTGGATGTGTTTTAGGTATTTGGAGCTTATTTGGGACTTAATGGATGCAAAGAAGAGAATTGATGATTCAGAGCCAGTCTGAAGTCCCTCAAAGATCGACTCAGATGGACGTCTTGCATTGCGATTTAGCTTCAGAGCTTTTCATACAAGTTATAGGAAATTGAGTTACCTTTCCAACGGAGGTAATTTCAAGCAAATCAGAGCTTTGATGCAAGAATTATGGTGGTTTTAATGGAGACATATGCAGAAAACTGGTTGGACTCGACAGGAGGTCGAGCAAGCGCTCAGAAACCACCAAGGGTTGGACTCGACCACACCAACTCGACTTGAGGTCGAGTAGGACACCATCAAGGAGCACCCTTTGAAGAATCACTCCCCCTCGACCACATGGACTCGACGACACGTCGAGTAGGACGTCAGGAAGCAGTCTGGACACGGACTCGACCACGCAGGCTCGACGTCACGTCGAGTTAGCCTCCACCGACTCTCTATTTTGTCCTGTAGCCAATTAGGGCAACCTAGTATTTCCTATAAATATGGGTACATGCTATTGTCCAGCGGATATTCCTTTTACCCAGCAGATATTCCGCTGTTCTCTCATAAACCCTAGTTTTTGTAATCGTTTTTCCTGTTGATCCTTTGAGTTTTTGCATTTCTTTTCTTCATCAAAGTTGTAGATCTGTCTCTTATCTATAACATACTTGCTTTTCAATGATTTTTGGGTTTGAAACGTTTTCTGGGTTTTTATGCATGATGTTCTTCAGTGTTCTTGAGTAGTGGATTATAGGGTTCTTGAGGATGGGTTAGATTAGGTGTGGAATCCTTAGTATATTTAGGTGGTTAAGTGTAGAATTGCTTGATTTCCCTTCTCGTTTAGTAGATCTTAATGCTATTTCTTCTCTGATAAATTGGAAATTGATCTCAGACATTTCCACACCCAAAAGGTGTTTAATGAAATGTCTGAACAAACTTTTCCAGAGATTTGCATACTCTAGCCCAAGAGATTGGATGTTTAGAATGCTTATTGACTCTATTAGGTTAAATCTTAATGCCTGCTAGGTTATATTTCTTCAATGAGAATTGAGTATGAAAGTGATTTAGCTTGAGAATCTCTGTCACGAGAGTGGATTGATTTGTATTCGAATCTATTGTATAGGGATAGCTTAATTGAGTTTGTTAACCACCTAGGTAGACTAAGGAGACTGCCATAATCGATTACCCCATTCCTCAAGACCCTTTATCTCTATTGATTGTTTAAATCTTGTTTTTGTTAGTCTCTGTTGCTTAGCTCGACCTGTTAGGCCTAGATCGTTTCTCTGCATTGTTAGGTTGCTAGTTTCTTTTCCAAAGCTTATGCATGATAGTTTCTGGTCTTTAGTTTACTTCTTGCTCTTGTTTACTTGCTGTTTAGTTCTCTTTTTATGCTTTTAAATTCTGTATTTGCATGTTAAATTGGTTGCTTAGGATCAATAGAAACACACAAAACCGTTTCATAATTGGCTTGACTTATCTGCTTTCTATTTCATATCTTGAATGCTTGCAGTCACACTGAGATTGGATTGAGAAACCTGATATACTACAATGGCATGTGTATTAGGGATTGATACTTGTTAGATAGAGGAAATCTTATTATCAGCCGCCACCTCCATGATTTTGGATCCCCAAAACGTTCTTTAATCGATTTTGTGTACTGCCATACACTTTAGTTCCAAAAGTGATCATTGATTTACTCATATTAATTTTTTGGCCAGAATAAAATTCATAGATATCAAACACATCCTTCAAAGCTTGGCAATTTCGTACGTTAGCTTGACAGAAAAAAAGAGAATCGTCTGCAAATTGTAGATGAGTAACACTTGGAACCCCCATGCCAATACGTATTCCCCAAATGTCACCGTCGTGGATTCTAGACTTGATAAGATGGCATATCGGCACATAAGATGAATAAGTAGGGTGAGAGTGGATCTCCTTGTCGGATTCCTCGTTCAGGTTTGATCAAACCACGTGGAGAGCCGTTAATAAGGACTGAGTATTGAACTGAAGTAACAGTCCCCATTATCCAACTAATCCATTGCTCACAGAATCCAAACATTCGCAACGTTGTTTCCAAAAATTCCCATTCAACTCGATCGTAAGCTTTACTTACGTCAGTTTTTACCGCCATATAAGATTGTGAAACTCTTTTTCTTGCTTTTAGAGAATGCATGATCTCATGAGCGATCATCACATTATCATTCACAAGTCTTCCCGGGATAAAGGCTGCTTGCGCATCATAAACTATGGCATCTAGATGGGTTTTAAGGCGCGCTACAAGGCATTTAGAAATGATCTTATATAGGACATTACATAACGCGATTGGTCTATAATCTGAGAGGGTTTCCGGATTAGTTATCTTAGGAATCATACAAATGTTTGTATGATTAACTAATGGTTTCATAGTTGCAGTCCTAAAATAATTTTTGACCTCTAAAATCACGTCAGCTCCTACAATGTCCCAACATGTTTTGTAGAATCTTGCAGTGAGTCCGTCAGGCCCGGGAGCCTTGTCATCACCTATTAAACACACGGTATTATATATTTTGTCATCGCTAAACTCCCGACATAGATCAGAATTCATGGATTGGGTTACTGTGGGCTTGAAGTCCGCAAAATCTATAGGCGAAACGGATCGTCCATTGCTAGCAAAAATTTCAGAGTAGAAACGTTGAGCATGTAGTCCTATATCATTGTCACCATTGTAGACAACTTCTTGGTCATCCTTAATTGTGTAGATTCTGTTTTTGGCAAACCTTGTCTTTGTACACGCGTGAAAGAAACCTGTGTTCCTATCACCTTCTATCATCCAACTGTTGCGACTTTTTTGGTGCCAGTATTTTTCCTCATCATTGTACACTTTTGCGAGGCTTCGTTGAATGTGGGGAATTTCTCTTCTCTCTGTTCTTGAAACACTTGACATTGCTAAGTTCAGTTGCGATTGTAAATGTTGAATGCGAGAATCCGCATTCAGGTTAGAGCTATGTTTTAAACGTGCCAAGTGTTGTCTGCAGGTCCTAACTTGGTCCATGATCTGATATCCATGTCTTGTTTTTCCATTTTCCCAGCCTTCTTTAACGCACCTTTTAAAGTGTGGGATGTCGACCAACCTTTTATCGAAGAAGAAAGACTTTTTCCTTGTAGTGCCAGTGTTTTCCATGGAGAGTAGAAGAGGTTTATGGTCAGAGCCTGTGAAATCTAGAAATTCAAGTTCTGCAAAAGGGAAGGAAACTGCAGCCTCTGTATTTATAAATGCTCTATCTAAGCAGCATTTCACTGTGTGAGTGTGACGTTCACCTACCCATGAAAATTTATCACCCCTTGA